AGTGCTTAGTATTTCATGCACACTCATTAAAATCTCAGTGTATTTTTATTTACTAATGCATTTATTTATCTGTGCCGCCTAGTCAAATAATGTCTATATTATTATTATTATTATTATTATCATCATTATTATTTTAATGAGTATGTATTTTTTTAACGCTTGCTGTCCCAGACCACAATCTGGGAGTGATTTGGTCACTTTCTGCGACGTCTGATATGTGTTGACAGTTCTTAAACTTGTAGAGACAAAATGGTCAATTAGTGCGTGGGGGGCACAAGACGTGTTGTGTATGTGTCAATTTGAACTCAGAATAATAAATATTAAAACAAAAATGCATCAATGTGTTCATTTAAATTGACCCAAAAGTCCATGTTTTTTTTTCTTTTGGCCACACTCTGGAGGTAGAAAGTTCAGGGTGTGCTGTTATTTAGGTGTAGGAATATCCAGGCCAACGATATAAGTCCTGATGAAACAGCTGGGAGTCTCTTGTGCCTGGTTTAACTTGTAATTAAAAGGCTTTATAGAGGGCAATTAATAAATATTGAACATTTGTCATATTTGCTGGGCATCAGGGGATAAACAAAATGGCTATTCCTCTGGGCTGAAAGCAATAAACGACAAATAGAATAGAGAGAGGGTGCAGATGGGCTCTGGGATGCCTTGGGTGGGCAAAGGAAAGCCCTAGCAAACTCACGCCTAAGCATAAAACAAATGTCAGACTTTCTATGAAAGAAATACGTAAATAAGAACTAAAAAAAAAACACATTAACAAAATCTGAGAAAGAATTAAAAAACGATACAGTATTTCTGGCTGATTCGAATCATTCATGCTGACAGCTCCCTAAGGGTGGTTAAGGGAATACGTTACATAAGCAGAGATCAGGGCATCTTAACCACCAACAAAAGCAAGAATCATGTGAACACTTTGATACCAAGTTGAAGGGCAGTGCAGGGGTCTGAGGGGTGACTGTCATCATGTTTGTTGAAGGGGTCTCGGAACACCCTGAACAGATGTTCTCTGCCTGTAGCAGGAATAGACAAGAGACTGCTGGGGCTGCAGTGTGCGGGAGGCATCTGGAGCTGTCCAGACTGTTGGTGCTGAAATATCAGACCCACACAGGAGTGCAGCAATGGTAGTGGTACTGTACATAGGAGGACAGCCTGCCCGGGATAAACATAGACCTACCACATACATACTCACTCTCTACTTTCATAAATACATATATATGATCATGCAGACCAGTTTTTTTTCAACAACTACAAATATCAGCATTGCCTCCCTTCCTCCCTTGCCGGTCTTTGCAGTGTAATGGATAAAGAGGAGGTAATTTTGCACAGAGGTGATTTAGTAGTCTAGTGTTGTATGCTAGCATTACAACCATGCAGCAGCTTAGTACAATGAGCTCAATTTACAAAGCTAACACACCAGGATAAGTATCCATTTTGTAAAACAAATTTTAAAAAGTGACACTTATTTTTAGATGGCTCCAATGAAATTTGAAAATCACAGTCACATGGCTGAAAAATAAAGTGCCTATGGCTTGTGAACTGAGCCTATTATGTCCAAGGAAGAATTTCTCCTTTATACTCCCAAATAGGACTAAGTGAAGGGAACTTCTTGCCTAGAACATATATTTTTTTTTAGTATTTCTTGCTTAAAATGTGCTCATGTTTTGCACCCAGGTGTAGATACACACATTTGCAATGGACTGTAGATGATGCAATGTGCTGACACGTGGGATGGCTCCTGGACTTTTAACTAACACACAATGGATGACAATGGATGAAGTGCTATCACCTATATCAGCCAAATCATCAAAAATCATTAATGATTGAATCATATCAAAATTGTAATTAAAAAAAAACATGTTACTGTCGGCTGCTAACATTTTACTAGGGCTCAGTGCATAGAGCAGTCATGGTGTACAATGCACATTAAGCTATGCCAACCAGTCAGTTTTCAGTTTATGGCAGGTGGATTAGTAAAAGGTGAATTCTGATTGGTGTGCATTGGTTACTGCACTTTGCAGCTTGCTTTGTTAAATATTCTAAATAGTGGAAGCTCCTACTGTTTCATCTTGGTTTTCATGATCTGCGAATTAGGTTTTTCCTGTTCAATAAGATGCCACAAATAAGTCTGAATACATATAAATCCAATTTGCTATGAAAGAATACACCGATCCCACCAGAATACAACACCATCACATTATATGAAGATCACAATCAACTTATCTTATGACGTCATATGAGTGCACAAGCCCTAGTTTTACCTGAATATACTGGACCACATCTAGCAAATATAATGTATCCAAAACAAGGGAAAACATTTAATTTTGAACTGATCAAAGAAAGTCATCTAATAAAAACTGCCGTAGGACAAATCCTCACTACATAGTACTGATATGTTGTGGTATTACACTAATTCCATGACGTTAAAAGTCTGATACATTAGTAGCAGTATAGAATTTGGATTTTTGGTGTACTGGGGAGCCTTACCACCCATCACATAACACATTTATATAACTATGGTAAACGAGTACAATACCTTTGGATTACATCTCATTGACAGTACGCAATGCCCAGAATTACAAGCACGTTAATTAATTTATCAATTAACATATGAAGATCTCCATACCCAAACTGAGCACAGAATTATCAACGCTTCTACCTGACTCAATAGAATCTGTAGCAACTTGAAAGAATTGCCCAGGCTTCTGCACAGGTAGAAAAATATCACGTGACTAATTAGATACCCCACCGAGGTGACCAATATCTATAAAATATGCATCACCCTGACACAGTAAATACATAAATACTAACAGCTATTAGGCTTATTGAACATCAAACTAGATACTTACATCCATTAGGCTTACTGAAATAGGCAAAGTGCACAGATTAAATACAATTTTGAATTAATGTGGGAAATCTGGATCTTTCGTTAATCTGGGTTCAGTAAACATAAACCTGACTGGTTATTAGTGATTACTTGCATTATGCGCTGCTCTAGCGAGTCTGTTTGCCCCCCTAAAGTTTAAGGAAAGCGACACATGAATATTTCAGGGTAACTAAGTCCTCTAAGTAATATTGTAATGGTCTAATCAGTCCAGGTACATCAGAACATGATGAAGACACAGACAGATGACATTTCCAGAAATATTATTATACTAACATTTATAACACATGCTTTAGTTCCAGAAAATAGTACAGTGTTTCTGTATTGGGCAGTGGATGGGCAGTGAAGACAGCACCCCTTCTTTGCATAACAACCTATAGCTGAATCTCCGGGTCTGTTTTAGAATGAGAGCTTTTCTCCAGACAAAGAGGAGCCATAGAGAAAAGAAAGAGAGACAGGCAGAGAGGAGAGAACTTGGAAATGATCACAGAACTTGGCAGAAGGAGAGAGGACATATGTAGCCCCTGTGGGTACAGGAGACTGAAGTTAGACATTGTTGGCTCCCTCAGGGGGATGGGGTCTTCTCAAAATGCCAACATTTGTTTCTTTAGTGCTTTAACCCCTTCCAGGACCTGACCGTCTTTTGCCTACAGTAAATATATATATA